GCATAAAAAAACAGAACTGGGTTAGATAAAGTAATGTCCTTACCAAACCCTTATAAAGAGTACTACCCATAAATTAGACTAAATTCATTGAATTTCTTTGGATGTTGGCTGCTTAAAACATAAAATATTTATTTGTTAGACTACCAAGTTTTAAATCATATACCATGAGAGGTAGAAGTGCAGTCATTTGACGGAGGATGAGAAGGCATTAACTCATTTAGTCACCAGGACCAGCTTTGTACAGTCCGTTGTCTTCTGGATTATTCCCCTTTGGTTTCTCCAGGGCTGTAGGTAGACATAAGAGTCACCTCTGACCCCTTTTTAATGTTCATTATATTCCTAAGGCAACTCCTCTTTCAATCATTAACAGACTTCAGCCCGCATAAAGCAATATAAACAGAGGATGTCATACCATAAACACCGTTTATAGTCTTGGAATTGCTGCAGTATGGGTTGTCTTCTCTCCAGATAATGACATCTAAATGCTTGGATTGTTGGGAACATTTTCACCAAATATGCACCAGCATTTGTTCACTGAAAAATCTGAAGTTGTCCTAACAACAGAACTCTGTCATTCATTTACATTATTTTAGCTGATAGTAGGAAATGACAATATAGTTTATGTCCACTGAGGTTGCAAACCCAATAGATTTGTATTGCTTCATAAATGTTACATACACTTACCGGCCACGTTATTAGGTACACATCGCTAATACTGGGTAAGACCCCCTTTGTGGCTTCAGAACTGCTTCAATGTCATGAGAAGATTCTTCAAGGTGCCAGAAACATTCCTCAGAGATTTTGGTCTGTGAACATGATTACACCATACGATTGTTGCAGATTTGTCGGCTGTACATACATCATGTGTATCTCCTGTATCACCACAATACACAGATACTCTATTGGACTGAGATCTGACTGTGGAGGGCATTGTAGGATATTGAACAAATTGTTATCTTCAAGGCAAAAGTTTGAGATGACGGCTGATTTGTGAAATGGTACAGTATTGTGTTGGCGGTAGCCATTAGAAGATGAGTACCCTATGGGATGGATAGTGTTGGTAACAGCACTCAGTTAGCCTGTGGTGATTATGCACACTTGGTACAAAGGGGCCTACAGAATATCTCCCATACCGTTACATCAACACCACCACCCTGAACCTTTGAAACATGGCAGGGTGGCTCCATGCTTTAATGTTGTCTACTCAAATGTAGCAATCTGTTGTTGTCGTGGAGATTCATCATTGGTTACACAGTGTATATTTATGCACAAGAACATGAAACAAGAAGGAACAAAAATCTAAATAATTTAAACTCATTGATTACTTTTCTGTACGATTGTTGGTCTTGTTTCAACTTCAGTGGCATTCTGGAACACCTCCTGGGCATAGGTTGGTCATGGGACAGCAAGCAGTAACATTTTAAGGAGGGATGTCATTTCTCACCATTACATGGAAGAACCTCGATGATAGATACCCACACAGCTAAAAAGGAGTGAATGCCGGTGATAAACTGTGCAGAACAATTTGTAAAAATGAGTGATCTTTTTGTGTTGTATGTCTCCTTTGGTTAATGCTGGAATGTCACCTTAGCATAAATTTTACACTTAATTTGATGTCAAAGCCTGCATCCTTCACACACAGTACTCACGGCTAGTGTGGCTACTAACAGAGAAATGTGCTGCAAAGTGACATCACCAAACGTGACATCACTATACTTATTAAACTCTGATACTTCAGATCAACTAGTTATCTTGTGTATTATTTGTTAGAATATTGGCTTTAAACCCGACTTATTAGGGGGCTTTGCATGGTGTATTAGTAGAAGAGGCGCTCCTTATACAGAATCAGAATCAGAAACAGCTTTATTGCCAAGTTCGTGCATACAAACAAGGAATTTGACTCCGGTACACTTTGCTCTTTTGTTCTGTTTTTGCATTACAGAATATACAAATTTACAATGTACAATATACAATGTACAATGCAATATTCTGCATTACAGAGATTATAGTCCTCCACGCAGCCGTCCTGGGTTTGATTCCCAACTCTGAATTCAGACATTAATCCAATTTAATCCTTAATACACTGCCTGGCCAAAAAAAAGTCCCCACCTGGATTTAACAAAGCCAATATGTATGAGCCTGCTATTGGATAATTACTGCATGGGCGATTATGTTTCAGCTGGCAACAACTTATTTAACCCCAACTGGTGCAATAAGTTGCTTTTCATTTCTTAAACAACCATGTTGAAAGACACATCCTGTGATCATGGAAAAGATGTCAGTCTGTTTCAGAAGGGTCAAATCATTGGCATGCATCAAGCAGAGAAAACATCTAAGGAGATTGCAGAAACTACCAACATTGGGTTAAGAAGTGTCCAACGCATTATTAAAAACTGGAAGGATATTGGACCCATCGTCGTCGAGGAAGAAATGTGGCCGGAAAAAAATCCTGAATGATCGTGATCAGCGATCACTTAAACGTTTGGTGAAATCAAATCGAAGAAAAACAACAGTAGAACTCCGAGCTTTGTTTAATAGTGAAAGTAAGAGCATTTCTACACACACAATGTGAAGGAACTCAAGGGTTTGGGACTGAACAGCTGTGTAGCCTTAAGAAAACCACTAATCAGTGAGGTTAATGGGAAAAATGGCTTTAATTTGCTAGAAAGCATAAAGATTGGACTCTGGAGCAATGGAAGAAGGTCATATGGTCTGATGAGTCCAGATTTACCCTGTTCCAGAGTGATGGGCGCATCAGGGTAAGAAGAGAGGCAGGTGAAGTGATGAGGTCAGCTGACTACCTGAATATACTGAATGACCAGGTTATTCCATCAATGGATTTTTTCTTCCCTGATGTCACTGGCATATTCCAAGATGACAATGCCAGGATTCATCGGGCTCCAATTGTGAAAGAGTGGTTCAGGGAGTATGAGACATCATTCTCACACATGGATTGACCACCAGAGTCCAGACCTTAACCCCATTGAGAATCTTTGGGATGTGCTGGAGAAGGCTTTGCACAGCGGTCAGGCTCTACCATCATCAATGCAAGATCTTGGTGAAAAATTAATGCAACACTGGGTGGAAATAAATCTTGTGACACTGCAGAAGCTTATCGAAACATTGCCACAACGAGCCTTCAGTTAGTGTTAAAAGTAAAGTTAGGGGGAAATTATGAATATGGGGTCCATAAAGAGATATTTAGGCTGTTATGCTTGAAATGTATGTGGAAACTTACTCTTGCACACAGCAGTCGCCAAACGTTTGCTTTTGAAGGTAACTGCTGGAACTGTTCCGCATAAAAATGGTGAATGTTTGCGCTAGAGAGATTACAGAGATTCATGCAGTAAGACCTCAGTTTGAGATCATCATTGGGAAAAATAATTGTACAAAGTTCTCAAAAACAGTTAACCAAACTCATAAACAAGCTCAGTTGAACCTGTTTGTGCACAAACCGAGGTTTGACTGCTGTTATATGTCAGGTTATATTTCTGTTTGATCAGAGCTCTTGAAGAACATCTGATGTGGAATTTGTTAAACTGTTGTTACTCGCAGAGTATAAAAATATTTCAGAAGAGGCACGAGACTTCTCCGGACTGATTAAAGGCAGCTGGTTGTGCCACTTAATAAACTCACCTGATAATAAAATGAACCAGCCTTGACATATTTCCATCTAATTATTTTAATTAGACTTCCTCAGCAGTGAAGACCACAAACCTTTGCCCAGTCTTGCATTATGACCTAAGTAAAGATGTCAAATTAAGCCCCTATCCTCTGTTTTGCTTTTTTTCTGTCTACGGCTTTCTCGCTCAGTGTGAGTTTGGGCCTCACTGACGTAATCGGAGGCGACTGGCCGAAGGGAGAACAAACGCTGTCCATCCCTCACGGCTGCATCGCTTCCCACAGGCTGTTCCCACCGTGCGTGTGCGGCTTCTCTCCCTACCGCAGGAGATAATTAGGTTTAAGCCTCAGAGCAGGAGAATGAACAGAGGGAAGGAGAGGGAACATGGAGGAGAAAAGGTGGTGATGTTTCATACTGAGCGGCAAAGGGGTGGATATAGCTGGAAGGAGACAGAAAGAGAGAATTTAACGACAGAAAATAAATGTTCAAAGCACAGAACTGGATTAAAATAGCAAAGTCAGAATATCCCCAGTAATTATTTTCTCCTCCAAGTTTGACATAGTGGTAGATGTAAGGATGAAGACAGAGGAGTGATATGACTGCAAAACGAAAGAGAGGACAGCTCAACGTAGCGGACAGGAAAATTAAATTTTTTTCTTTCAGAGGCTGGTGAAGTGAGGTGGAAGTGTGAAAGAGGCTGGTGAAGGGGAAAAAGGAGCAACCAGAGGCGATCTAAGCTAAGAAAGGCCGGTGGGTGAAATAACATGTTCTCAATTATTAAGCAAGATGGAGGAAGTGCCAGAGAGCTGAGAGAAGGGTTGTTATGGACTGGGGGGGCAAAGGTCGCTCTGCTCCTGGACTCTGTTCTCTGCAGTAATTATTAGCCTGCTTTTTCAGAGATGAATCAGTAAACAGAGGGAGTGCTTGTGTGAGGCACTAATTCAATCTGTTCATTTGAATCAGTCCATCAACCTAATGCTTGTTGTTCATTGGCTACAGGTATCTGTGGGTGTGCTCAATATTGCACTGACTTGATTGGCTACCTTGGATAGCTGTAATATAAATGTGAGGCATGGTGATAGCTGATTATTTTAAATGTGTATCCTACATTTAGCATGTTCAACATGTGCATTAAATCTTTGTATCCAATTCTCATATTTTTACTGAGACAAATACAAGTCAAGTCAAGTTTATTTATATAGCGCTTTTCAGCAACAAGGCATTTCCACCTATTAGTCAAAGTACCTGATTTAAATGGGTGGGTTGTTATGGGTCTCCTTCTGAACTTCGAACGAAGCTGAGGCGATAATTCAGCCATTTGAATCCGGTGTTGGAGTACGGACACATCTAAATGGGGTTTAGAGAGAGGAGGAAGACATGCAGTAAAAGTCACCAGGCTGGGTCTCGAACCCACAACAGGACGCCTTGAGGACGAAGGCCTCTGAACATGGGTCACGCGTGCTACCACTGTGCCACCATTGCATCCATTCTGGCAGCATTTTTAAGACTTTAAGATTTTATTTGACTTTCTGTGGTTGCTGATCTCTGAACTTGTTGACGTATCTGGGACCAAAAAAAGTTACCTTCGCCATTTCACACTTCCTCATTGATTATAAGGTACTGTGAAAATGTGATGAAACGAAAACATAAAGCTGTGTGATATCAGTGTAGGTATCTGAAGAGAGGTTCTAATACACTATAATCAGACTTGAGGGGTAGGGGTTTTGTATAGCATAAAAAGTGCCCTAGACTAGAGCCATGAGGACCCCTACATGTTTCTTTTTTTTCAATCAGGTTTGTAATTGCGAAAAGACACAAAGGTTTTCTGGTCTGACCAGCAAGATTTGAATGTATTAAGCAAATATGTCCGTGTTCATCAATACTGAAAATTACTTTTTGTAAAACTCGATTCCATTGAAAATTTGCAAATTATGTCCCCGATACTGGAAAATACACTTCTTTAAAGTATTTTTGAATTGAATTGAATTGAATTTGTCAAAGTAGATCACTGTCCTCTGTGTCATTCTAGTCTATTTCAAATTTACAACAGAGACTCCTGAAAAACCTCTTACTAAGACCTGAACTGCGTGAATGTTCTGTCTTCTGTCCCTCTATCGTCTGTTTTCACTGTGAACTGTCTCTGTTTGTGTGAGATCTGCTCAGCACTTTGACTGTGTGTGTGGTCTATGTTCTAATCAGGGCTTTTTATGAAACACAAAGCTCCTTTGTTACACCAACGTGTGGTAGGTTGGTGTGTATGTGCGCCTTTGCACACTTTAAGGAGAGTGTGTGTTCCTTCTTTCCTCTGTTCTTCTGTTCATGTGTTGGTGTGTTAGTGTTAGACCTATTTGGCAGATTTGATGTCTGTTCATATAGCGGAACGACAAAGGAATCCTTTCATTCTGACCCTACTCAGCTGATCTGGAGTCAGCTGATGGTGACTGTGGCTTGGTTTGCAGCTGGAGGAAGGGAGGTCTGGATCACACCTAAGTGAGGACAGAGGTTCCAGGAAAATTGTGCATTAGGGCCGTTTTAAAAGTACTTTGGATTGCAAATGTTCAGATGGCATAATGGAGACTGGATTTTGTTTGTTTGTTTCTATGTTTTCAAACATTTTAATTAAACAGGAAGTTGTCAGAGAAAGGGGAAAGACATGTAGCAAATGTCTCAAGGTCAGGGTTTGAACCCTGGGCGGCTGCATCAAGGACTGATGGCCTCTGTAGATGGGGCGGCTGCTGTACCACTACAACAAGCCACACCCCATCGTTTGTTCTTTTTATGGGAAGTTTATCACAGTTGCTGCATGTTTTTAGCATCATAAATTCCAACGACATCATGTCCAGTCCTGTTATAATAAGTTATAGCTAGAAACAATTTAATCTTCTGAGAATTGTTGGCCAATTTATTTACTTGTCTATGCCTTTTTAAACTTTTGCCTCAGTACACATACAAATAGAAAATTTGAAGTTTAGTCTTTTAAATTTACCCTCTCTGAAAAAAGTTAAATGCCTTGAAAGGATGGTCCTATTTAGACATACACCTTTTGTCCCATTACAATCACAAACTTCAATGTGTTTTGGTGGGAATTTATATGATTAACCAGCACAACGTAGAGCACAATTCTTCGGGAGAAAGAGAAAGGATACATTGTTTTATAAGAAAAGTTTACTAATTGTAATATGAGAAGTGTGGTGTGCATTTATATTTAGCTTTCTTCACCTTATAGCCACTGAATAAAACCCATTGAGCCTTTGGAAGTCCACCTGTGAATGAGCAAAAGTTTATGTCTAGATCTGTAAACCTCGTGGAGATATACTGCAAAAGACTTGCAGTTGTAACTGCAGTGAAAACAGGTTTTACACCGTACTGACCCAGGGAGGCTAAAAAACAAATGCATGCCACACTTTTTAGATTTCTATCTGTTAAAAGTTTGGAAAACCATGTAGAAATTTCACTCCACTTTACAATTGTGCTGTACTTTGGTTTGGCATATCCCTGAAAATCCTAATGAAATTCATTAAAGTTTTTAGGTTCAGTGGCTGTGATTATCCTCTAAAGGTGCAGTAGATTAATAAACATCCAGACAAGTGATAAATATGTAATGATTTGGTTTGCAAAGGTATGGAAGATCTTGAATAGTGGAGCAATTATGTCATCTAGCAGATGCCACAGGACCCAACAGTCAGTCAAAACAGTTATTGAGATTCATCATGCACAGTGGATCATTTATTGTGCATTTATGCATTCTAACGCTGCATGGTGCATTCATATTGCCATTAGTTTCACCCCTGGGCCACAGAGACATCTGTATTCCCCACATGCCTTACAACTGCATGGTAGACAACCACAGCCACACCAGAAATGTGATGTGTTGCAAACTCTGTCATGTGTTCATACTGATGTTCAGTCAGTCTATCTCCTCTGTGTCTGGAGACCTTCACTCATTATTCTGACTGACAGATGCTCCAGCCACTGCCTGTAACCCTATTGTTCCTGTAACTGATTCTTCAGGTAAACTGTAGTCAAGTATGAAGACTTCACCTAAAATAGCTGATTGCGTGCGTTTTTATATGCATGGGTCTGTTAAAGCAAAAACGGATTTTCTGTGGTGTGCACATTTTTTTCTGGTTGTGGAATATGACAACCTTGGCATTAAGCACAGGAAAGTTTTCAGAAGGTTAGACAGAGTAGCTTTAGAAATCCAGGGCGTTAAAAGGAGACATTTTTCCAGATTAGAGGAATGACACCTCTAAGAATCCAAATGAACAATGGAGAATAATTTCCACAGATTTTACCAGACAGTGATGTTTCATATAGATTCTGTTGTGATCTAAGGAATTTCCTTATTTTTATCAAAAACTGGGTTCTCATTTCCTTCCAAGTAATTCATTCTGTGAATGCTGAAGGCATTCACACCATAATGATCCTGTTTCTCTTTATTATTATTATTATTATTATTATTATTATTATTATTATTATTATTATCTATATCTAACGCTTTTTTTGGCACCTATCTCCTCCTTGATACTTTGTGCTATTTCAGCCATTCAACTTTTAAAATGTTCAGCTCATTTAGGACATTACGGATATGACTTTTGGTATTAATACTTTTTATACTTTT